TAAAATTAAATTTCATTAAAATTAAATTTAAATTAAAATTTAAATTAAAATAAAATGAAATTTAATTTTAATTAAATTTCAAATTAAACTTTAATTGAATTTTTTTCTAGTTTAATGAAATGCTTGGAGAGCTGCTGATTCTGAGCCAAAAATGGGATTTTGTTCTCCCACCTTGGCTTTGTCCCTCATGGAACCTTTCCCCAGCACAGAGATTTTTGCACCAGTTTCTTCCTGAAGCCTCTTTATGGTGTTGCCTTGGGGTCCCAAAATCTTCCCAACGAAGTTGAACTGGAAATTAAGGAAAAAAAAACCAAAATGAATCAGCTCCAGAGCTCAAAAAGAGCAACTTTTTTTTTTAATGTTCTGTCAATTGATAAAAAAAAAAAAAATTGCATTTTCTCCTCATTTTACCCAAAAAAAATGCAGAGGAAAATTGAAGTTTTGAAAGGAAAATTGAAGTTTTGAAAGGAAAATTGAAGTTTTGAAAGGAAAATTCAAGTTTTGAAAGGAAAATTCAAGTTTTGAAAGGAAAATTCAAGTTTTGAAAGGAAAATCCAAGTTTTGAAAGGAAAATTCAAGTTTTGAAAGGAAAATCCAAGTTTTGAAAGGAAAATTCAAGTTTTGAAAGGAAAATTCAAGTTTTGAAAGGAAAATTCAAGTTTTGAAAGGAAAATTCAAGTTTTGAAAGGAAAATTCAAGTTTTGAAAGGAAAATTCAAGTTTTGAAAGGAAAATTCAAGTTTTGAAAGGAAAATTCAAGTTTTGAAAGGAAAATTCAAGTTTTGAAAGGAAAATTCAAGTTTTGAAAGGAAAATCCAAGTTTTGAAAGGAAAATTCAAGTTTTGAAAGGAAAAATAAAGTTTTGAAAGGAAAATTCAAAGTTTTGAAAGGAAAATCAAAGTTTTGAAAGGAAAATTCAAGTTTTGAAAGGAAAATTCAAGTTTCCAAAGGAAAATTCAGGTTTCCAAAGGAAAATTCAAGTTTTGAAAAGAAAATTCAAGCTTCAAAAGGAAAACTCAAGCTTTGAAAACTCAAATTTCAAGAGGAAAATCCAAGTTGCAAAAGGAAAATCCAAGCTTTGAAAGGAAAACTCAAGTTTCCCACCTTTATTTTCATGAAATAAATGCTCAGGCAGGAAAATGAAGCCAAATGAAGTGCTTCAACCCCAACAGTGCAGCAGCTTTCAGCAAATCCTTAAGGAATTCAATGTAAAAATACAAAAAAGCTGCACCATGGAGTTGTCAGCTCCAGCAGCACCACACAGCCCAAAATACCCCAAAATTCAAAATATCAGAAATAAAAACCCCCAGGCCTGGAGAAAAACCCAAACACCTCCTTTGTTTTGGCCAGAAATCTCCTGAATTTTGGTTGAAAAAGCAGAATTCACTCCAGAAAAGAAGAAAATCTGCTTTTTTCTGGTTTTTTGGCCTCACCTTGGGGTACTGCTTGACAGGGATCAGAACTCGTTCCTTCAGTTTCATGTTCTTGTGGGAGAACAAATCCAGGTAATTCTCTTCTTCCTCCTTCTTGGCTGTCTCACCCTTCTGAATTTTTTCAATTTCTAAATAAAAATCAAATAAAAATGATTATCAATAATAATATAAATTACTATATCATTATATTATTTATTATTATATTATATAAAATAATATATAAAATTAAATAAAATTAATATAAAATTATATTAATATTATTATATAATTATATTATTATTATTTCTTATATAAAATAAATAATAAAATTATATTAGTAGAAATAGAAAGAATAGAATTATAACAATTAAAAAAATATTATAACAAGACAAAAATAGTAATGTAAAATATAAATAATAATAATTTGGAATAGAAACACCAGTTTTTAATTTATTATAATAAATAATAATTATAAATAATTAATATATATTTATTTATATATTTTATAATATTTATATTTATTATATAAATAATAAATATAAATAAATAATTATAATAATATTTGATTTAATTTTTAAATTAATTTTTTTTTATTTCCTAACCCAGTGTGGGGTGGGTCAGGAAATTCTCCCAGCTCCATTTCATGAAATAAATTCAGATTTCTCACCCAAACCATCCCCAAGTGGGTTTTAACCCTGAGGTGTGGGAATGAAAATGGAATTATTTGGAATAATTTCAACCCTCAGCCCCAATTACCTGCTGGAACGAGCTCATTAAGGGACATTAATTAGGGACTGGCAGGCAAGCCCTGCTGGAAATTCACATTTCACAGGAGAGGGAAAATCCTCCCCAGGCATTTCTGAGGTAAAAATTGCATTTTTGCCCTGGATTTCCCTTTCCAGGGATGATAAAATCACAATTTTTATTTCAAGGCCAACAAATCCATGAGAAATTCCCCCAAATTGGGAGTCAATTAATTTTAACAACCCCAAATGACTGCTGAGCCTTTGGTCCAACAGAAAAAAACCCCAAATACCCCAAATTGATCATAATAAATCAAAATTGATCATAATAAATCACATCATAAATATCCATCTAATCCTGATTTCAGGCTCTTTATCAGGAGAGGTGAAAAATCAAATTGTGCCATTTCACCAGCAAAGCCAGGGCTCGTAAACTGAATTTCTGAGCCTTTTCCTATGGAAAAGCCACTTCCCAAGGCTTGTAAACTGAATTTCTGAGCCTTTTCCTAGGATAGGAGGCACTTCCCAAGGCTTGTAAATTGAATTTCTGAAAATGCATCTGCAGACAAACCAGAAATGTTTTTACCCACGCATCCAGAATAAATTTTATCCCCTGATAAATTAAATTAATCCAAAGAGGAATTAATTGCTGTTAAATCCAACGATTAGGCTGCAATGAAACACGGGGATGTTCTGCCCCCTGCAAAGCAGCAAATCCCAGTTCCAGCTCCAAAATCCATCTCTGCCTCCGGCCAGAGCCGCGGGAAATCTGGGAATGGGCAGGGGGGGCCACCAGGAATTCAGGAATTGATGAAAAAAACCCAAAATGAAAAAAGCAGCGAGCAGCTCCACGCCTGGAAATGGAACTTCAAATGTAAGGGAGGAGAAGGAGCAGCAGAGGAATTCCAGGCTCGCACCATTCCAAACTCTGGGAATTCCAAACTCTGGGAACTCCAAGCTCTGGGAATTCCAAACGCTGGGAATTCCAGGCTATGGTAACTCCAAGTTTGAGAATTCCAGGATCTGGGAATATCAGGCTGTGGGAAATCCAGACTTCAGGAATTCCAAGTTTGAGACTTCCAGGATCTGGGAAATCCAAACTTTGGGAATTCCAAGCTCTGGGAACTCCAAGCTTCGGGAATTCCAGGCTATGGTAATTCCAACTCTGAGAATTCCAGGATCTGGGAAATCCAGGCTATGGGAATTCCAACTCTGAGAATTCCAGGATCTGGGAACTCCAAACTTTGGGAATTCCAGGCTCTGGGAACTCCAGGCTTCAGGAATTCCAAGTTTGAGAATTCCAGGATCTGGGAAATCCAGGCTATGGGAATTCCAGGCTATGGGAACTCCAGGCTTCAGGAATTCCAAGTTTGAGACTTCCAGGATCTGGGAATTCCAAACTGGGAATTCCAGGCTTTGGGAACTCCAAGCTTTGGCAATTCCAACTCTGAGAATTCCAGGCTATGGGAACTCCAGGCTCTGGGAACTCCAGGCTTCAGGAATTCCAAGTTTGAGACTTCCAGGATCTGGGAATTTCAGGCTCTGGGAAATCCAGACTTCAGGAATTCCAACTCTGAGAATTCCAGGCTCTGGGAACTCCAAGCTTTGGCAGTTCCAAGCTCTGGGAATTCAGGGCAGCCCCAGACCCCAGGAGTCTGGAAGTTCCAGGATCTGGGAAATCCAGGCTATGGGAATTCCAAACTTTGGGAATTCCAGGTTCTGGGAACTCCAAGCTTTGGCAATTCCAAGCTCTGGGAATTCAGGGCAGTAATTCCAACTCTGAGAATTCCAGGCTCTGGGAACTCCAAGCTTTGGCAGTTCCAAGCTCTGGGAATTCAGGGCAGCCCCAGACCCCAGGAGTCTGGAAGGATGAAGCCCTGGTGGCACCCTGGATGTGACAGGAGCAGCCGTGGGACAGCCAAGGCCATTCCAGAGGATTTTTGGGAGCAGGCTCCTGCTTGCCACGGGCAAATGGCAGCAGCTGGCAGCACGAGTGGCACTTCCAGGGATTCCTGAGGGGCAGGGATGGGCTCAGCAGGATTCCCAGGGCTGGCAATGCTGCTCCTGAGCTATTCCTGAAGAATCAAATCCATGGAAATGCTGGCCTGGGAGCACACTGGTTTGTAAGAATGGAAATGTTACCCGGAAAGTCAAGTAGAATGATCCCAAAAACCCCAAACCCCACGGAATTTGGGGGTGGCACCTCAGGACAGCAGAGGCTCCTCCATCCTCCCCTGCTCGTTTGATTTCCCAGGAAGGGGAAGCAGATCCTAGAGAGATTCCAAGGATTTGGCAATCCTGATCCCACTGTTTCCCACCCCAAAATACATCCCCAGCCTGGCATTCCAGCCTGGCATTCCAGCCTGGCACTGCTGGGCAGGGAAGGGAGGGCACTGCCAGGAGAAGGGGCACGGGGAGGGAAAGGTGAGATTTGGGATGCGGCACAGGGGGGAGAAACTCCTGGGATGGGAACGGGAACAGGAATGGCCACGGGAATGGGAAGGGGAATGGCCACTGAGGTGGGAATGGGAATGGCCACTGAGGTGGGAATGGGAATGGCCACAGGAGCAGGAATGGCCACTGAGGTGGGAATGGGAACGGCCACTGACATGGGAACGGGAATGGCCACAGCTGTGGGAATGGGAATGGCCACTGAGGTGGGAATGGGAATGGCCACTGAGGTGGGAATGGGAATGGCCACAGGAGCAGGAATGGGAACGGCCACTGAGGTGGGAACGGGAATGGCCACTGGGGTGGGAATGGGAATGGCCACTGGGGTGGGAATGGCCATGAGGTGGGAATGGCCACAGGAGCAGGAATGGGAATGGCCACTGAGGTGGGAACGGGAATGGCCACAGCTCTGGGAATGGGAATGGCCACAAAGGTGGGGATGGAAATGGCCACATCTCTGGGAAGGGGAATGGCCACTGAGGTGGGAATGGGAATGGCCACAGCTCTGGGAATGGCCACGGCCCCGGGAAGGGGAATGGCCACGGCGGTGCCAGCAGCTGAGAACGCTGCCATGGTGGAACAAAACAGAAACTGAAATGCGCAAAGTGAAACGATTTCAGAACAAGGCAGCCTGAGAGAGCAGGGGACAGCTCCAGGTGGCAGTTTGGGGACAGGATACCCGCTTGGAGGGATGGGAATGGAGGGAATCTCTGCCAGGAGAGCCTGGACCCCACTGGAACGAGCTCCAGGGTGACCCCTGTGACCCCAGGGCTCTCCAGGGATCCCTGGTTGGGACATTCCCACCCAGCCCTCCCCTCCCCATCCCAGGGATGCACAGCCTGGATCTGGCCCCAATCCAGCAGGGAATTCCTTGGGCGAGTCCCCCAGCACCTCCTGCTGCCCCATTCCCTCCCCTCCTGGAATGACACAGCTCACACACCCTTGGGAAGCTCAGCTCTTTTCCCTTGGGGTTTCTCCATGAAATAAAACCGGCTAGAATTCCCAAAATTCCCAAACCCCACAGCAGGCTGCCACACAGGTGGGATGTTTCCCTTTTCCCAGAGCAGGGAAGCAGAGGGGGCCGTGCCCTTCACACCTCCCCTGCTCTGTCCACAGCACAAACCCAAAAGAAAAAAAATAAATTTCTTGTTCCTATGGGAAAGGAAGGTCACACAGACCCCAAATGCCAGGAGGGAAATGTGGATTATATTTGAAATCCCAATTTTCAGTTTCTCTTTAGGATAACAGAACCCTCAATGCAGCCACTTCCATACCAGAGTCCATGGAATTCATAAGAATCCCTTCACTGCCAGGCCTCTGCTCCCAAAAAAAGCCAAAAATCATAAATATCCCTCTAAAAACATAAAACCACCACAGGATTTTAGACAAGTTTAGGTCGTTTAAAAGAAATGAATGCAGAATTCCAGCAGGGCTCCCTCCCTGAGGCAGCCTGAGCAACTTCCACGTCTGGGAAGGGAAAAAAGGCTGCAATAAAATTTCTGCTGACACTCAGGACCATCCCTGGGGCTGGAAATGGTTTTGCTGGAGTTGTGCTGGCTCTGTGCACCACAGAGCTGAAATTCCCAGCAATCCTGAGCACTCTGGGCTCACCCAGGCAAAAAATTCCCCTAAATCCACCATTTTACCTCAAATTCCTCCTCCTTGTTTTCCTGCTCAGCTCACCCTGACCTGGGACTGGGAATGCTCCCAAAAAAAAAAAAGAAATTATTTTCAAAATGCCCACAGCCCTCCTTGTTTTCCTGCTCAGCTCACCCTGACCTGGGACTGGGAATGCTCCCAAAAAAAAAAAAAGAAATTATTTTTAAAATACCCACAGCTGGAGCTGCTCCAGTTTTAAATCTCCCAAAGCTGCAATCATGAAATTAATAAATTAATAAAAAATGAATTAATTAAAAACCAACTCCTAAATGCTCATCACACCCCTCAGGTGAAGGAGGCTTTGCAGGATGCTGCTCCTGGTGGGAATTTGCAAACTCCTCGGAGTTCCTTTGCCTGGGAGGCGGCAGAGCTACAGAATTTCATGGATCAGGAGCACGGAAGTGATGGAAAATCGGATTAAAAAACTCATTTATTCAGATCAAGATGCTGGTGGGTGATGCTGGGATGGGTTTTTGCACAATGGGAGAGACAGCAATTCCCAAGAATTATTCCTTGCATAAAACAAGCTCCTAAAACCTCCAGAGCTGCACCAAAACTCTGCATTTATAAGCCCTGACAAGACAAATAATTAAAAAAAGAGCAGGCAGAGAAATAATTTTTTAAATTCCAATTAATAATTTTAAATTGTTAATTAAAAATAATTTAATGAAAGTATTATTAAAATTATTATTGAATAAATTATTGTTGAATAATATTAAAATCCGATCAATTAAAATAAAATTTAATGATTCAATTAACTAAAATCATTCAGATATTCCAATAAATACTATTTAAAATCCCAATAAAAAGTAAAAAATGAAATCAATAAATAATACTATTATTAATAAAAGTAATTATAGTAATAATATTATTTTTAATAAAATGATAAAAATAAAATAATAAAATTTAAATTATAATAATGTTAATAATGATGATGATAATAATTTTAAGAGCAGGTAGAAAAAATAAATATTTTTAAAAGCGCAAGTGAAAATTAATATAATAATAACAGTAATAATAATAGTAATAATAATAGTAATAATAATAATAATAGTAATAAGGAAAAGAAATAATTTTTAAAAGCACTGGTGGAAATAATGATGATAATGATAATAATGATAATTTTAAAAGCAGATGGAAAATAACGAATTTTTTTAATCACAGATGGAGATGGAATCTGAGCAGATCCCTGCTCTGGGAGCCTCCCAGCAGAGGCTGGGAATGTTGGAACCGGTCCCGTTTTGGGGAGCAGAACGGGCCGGGGCTGCAGAGGGAGATCCGGGCCGGGCAGAGCCGAGCCGGGCCGGGCAGGGCAGAGCCGAGCCGAGCCGGGGCTGCAGAGGGAGATCCGGGCCGGGCAGAGCCGAGCCGGGCCGGGCAGGGCAGAGCCGAGCCGAGCCGGGGCTGCAGAGGGAGATCCGGGCCGAGCCGGGCCGGGCCGAGCCGGGCACAGCCGAGCCGGGGCCGGGCCGGGCCGGGCCGGGCAGAGCCGGGGCTGCAGAGGGAGATCCGGGCCGAGCCGGGCCGAGCCGGGCAGGGCAGAGCCGGGCCGGGCAGAGCCGAGGTGCCAGGCCTGGGCAGGGCAGAGCCGGGCCGGGCACAGCCGAGCCGAGCCGGGCAGAGCCGAGCCGAGCCGGGCCGAGCCGAGCCGTGCCGGGCTCAGAACAAAGGCTGCCATCTCCAGCCCGGCTCGGCTCTCCCAGCAGGGAGCGACCCCCGCGCGGCCACAAGAACCATTCCCAGGCTCGTTTTCAGCTCCCCCGTCCCGGGGGTGGAAGGGCTGCCCCGGTTTCGGCGAGGACGGAGCTGCCGCTCTCCCCCGCAGCTGTTCCTAGGGGTTTTGTGGGAATCGCGTTCCTGTTTCGGGGTTTAACCCTGGGCAGGAGGGAGAGCGGCTGTCCCCAGGGCAGGACAGGTCACCTGCAGGGCCCAAAGGGACACTGCACCCCCGGACTGTCACTGGGAGCGGCTCGGGGACGGGCTGGGCATCGCGTGTTTCTCCCTCAGCACAAAAGAATTAAAAACCTACCCTACATCTCACACTACTACCCATACCACCATCCTGAACCTTGAGGAACAAATCCTACAGAAACAAAGTACCTCTAAAAAGCCCATTTTAAAAATTTATAATTGTGACCATCGCAATTATCATTATTTATCAGGGAAATTACCATCACGTTTTAATTTTAATTATTAAACGCTTCTCTCGGGGGTTTTGATTCTCTTCATTCTCCCGCCTGGCCGAGGCCACACCACAACTAACACAATCAAAGCAGCAGTAAAACACACGCAAAAGCCGCGGCTCTGCGGATGAAGGGCAACAACATCTCACTGTAACCCCGGGGCCGGAACGGGCACCGGGACGCGCCGCCGGTACCTGCGGTGAGCAGCTGCATGGCGTGCGTGAAGGACGGGTCCAGGCTGTCCTTCTCGGCCATCAGCTCGGGCAGGTACTTGTTCTCGGGCTCCATCTTCCCGCCAGCCACACCGGCTCCTGAGGCCCCGCCGGCCGCGGCCGCACCGGGCGGCGGCTGGCTGCATGAGGCGGTGCCCGGGAAGGGGAGCGGGGCCGGGCCGGGCCGGGGACGGCGGCGGGAGCGCAGCGGCCACACCGCCCGCGCCGGAAGCGCCGCGCAGGAAGCTCCGCCCCCTCCCGGTGCCGGTCTGTGAGGGGGGAGCGCTGCGCGCATGCGCTCTGTGCCGGCGGCCCCGCGGGAATGGCGCGGTGCCGGGGTTGGAAGGGGCGGCGTGAGGGGAGATGTGGGTGATGGAGGCAGGGAATTGTGAATGTGTGAACTCATCCAGTCAGCGCGGCGCTGGCGGAATCCCTCAGCAGCATCAGCGCCGCTAAATGCGGTGACTCCATCGCCTCCCCAAGCAGCCCCTCCCAATGTCTGGCCGCGCAGAGGGCGAAAAAAAAAAATCTTAATATCTGCCCTGCGAATCTGCCCTGTCTCAGCTTGAGGCCGTTTACCCTCAGTAAGCTCACTCTTCACACAGTAGAAGAGACCGGCCCCACCTCACCACCAGCTCCTGGCATTTTGTGCCTGGTTTTGGCAGGTGCTTGTGGAGAGCGATGAGGTTCCCCTTAAGCCTCCTCTTGAGACTAAACCCAGCTTCCCCAGCCGCTCCTCGCAAGGCATTTCCTTCGACCTTTCACGAGCCTTTGAGGGGCCAGGACTGAACGCAGTAAAGAGTAAATAGAATCATAAAATCAAAGTTGTGACAGAACAGACGATGGCATGAAGAGCGCGGGCGGGATTCGAACCCGCGGTCTGACGCGAACCGCCGGCTGCAGGACTCGAACCGGCGGCTCTGCCGGTGCCGCGCATGCGCGCTCTGAATTCCCGCCAGGCGGCGGCGCTGAGGCGCGGGAAGGGGCTGAGGGGGAACCGGGACCGGCACCGGCACCGGGCCACGGCACCGAGACTTTGGCCTGCCCGGGTCACTCCGCTGCCCTGAGGTACAGGGGTAGTGCCGCTGTGAGGGCTCAGCGTGTCCCCTGGGCCTCCAGAGTCCAGCGGTGCCCTGTGGGAGCGGAGCTTTCCCTCACGGTCCTGAGGGGCGCAGCCCGCTCTGGGGACGAGCCCTCGGTGTCCCTGAAGGACGGAGCTGCTCTTATCAGGTGGTGTCACACGGTGCTGAAAAAGGAAAGAAAAGAGCCCTAAGGCCTGTGATTATCAGAGTTTATGCGACTCCACTTATGACTTTGCAGAGCTATTAAACCCAGCAAAGTGGCACTGAGCAGCTTCTTTGTGTATTTTGAGGGACAAAGGTTTGCTGGTTGCTTTATTCTCACCCTCCATTTTGCCCCTTCATGGACGATTCTTCGGGTTTCTTTGTTGATGGGTTTGGGCAAGGAGTTGGACTTGGTGGCCCTTATGGGTCCCTTCCAACTTGAGGTATTCCATGATGATATAAATGCAAAAAAGCTTTTTTTTTTCAGGGGTTTCTGTTATTGTGTGTGGAGGCAGCACTTCAGTAGGACACACATATTCCAGGCACTGCAGCCGCTTAAATTAGTACAAAACACGGCCCTCTGTTAATAATTCAACAGTCAGAGCACAGGAAATGGGAAGGCAACAGCTTTATAACTGGGGCAATCACTCATCTCCTCCAGCCTGTGCGGGACACAAGGGATCCTTATTGACCCACCTCTCCCTGAGCTGTGAGAAGATGTCACCCGAGGCTGGGGACACCGCGCTGGCTCCACCGGCACTCGGTGGCCCCAGCTGGGACCGGAGGCTGTGAGCGGGCTCGGGCACAGCCCCAGCAGGGCTGCGACGGGAACTGCCTCCCTTTTCCTTTTCCCTTTTCCCTTGTCCTTGTCCCGGTCCCGGTCCCGCCTCAGGCTCAGGGAAGCGGAAGCCGCGGGAACCCCCGCGAGGACCGAACCACTGCCCGCAGTGGGGAGGAGCGGGCTGTACCACTGGGCTGGCGGGGGGGGATGCTGGCGTGGAAGGCTCCGTGTGCACGTGCGGCCAGAGGGCCGGTCCAAGTGTGGGGGGGTCCGGGACGTACCAAAGGTGACTGGGGCCAGCGAGACACCCCCGAGCTATACCAATGCCCAAGGAGGGGGGGATAGGCCTGTACCATGGCATATAAGGGGGGGTTGCTATAAAGCAGCGGGATGGAAGGAGCTGTTCTTCGCTGCGCGGAGCGGGTTGCTCAAGGTATTATCTAACCTGGCTTCGAACAATTCCAGGCTCGGGGCGTTCCACACCCTGTGCCAGTGCCTCGCCACGCTCACAAGGAAGAACTTCCTCCTCATACCTAACGTCTATTGTTCCCGATCTCGTCACTGCAGTTCGTGACGAAGGATGCCCCTCCGGTTTCCCTGGAGGCCACTCCAGACACTGAAAAGTGCTGCGAGGTCCTCACACAGCCCGGCCCCCCCACCACGCCTGGAATGGACGCGCCCAGCGCGCTGCCCCGGGGCGTGGGCGCGCGTGGGCGGGCCGTACCACTGCTGCCGGGCGGGGGTGCGAGGGGCGGGCCGTACCACGGGGCGGCGGCGGGAGG